GCGGAAAAAATGCACCCGACCGCTAAGCGGACCGATACAAGCCCACGTGATGTCAAAACACATCCAGACCGCATGGTCCGAACGTATGCGGATGATTTATTTTTTGAGAAAACTTTCATTCATTTTGCATCATGGTAGTACAATGAACATTAGAAATAATAAAAAATTACATACAGATCTTTAGACCACCTAACGACGACTACAAGCACTTAAGCGAGCTGAAAACACACTGCTGTCATCGCCCCTCCCTCGCCAAAGCCGGGCAGGGTCCACGTTGAAGATGCCATCATCGTCTTATCCCTCTGCCATCCCTCTTAAGCCGGAGGGGACATAGAGATTTAAACCCCCTCCTCCAAGCAAACCGTAACAGCAATGCATGTGCCAAAGGAAATTGACTGCTCCAATAAATTATCGGTGGAGCAACATTCGATGAAAACATAATATCAGCCAGAAAAAATACTGCTAGCCAGAAAGAAAAAATCCTAGACTGCTATCAAAATCGATTTGAACAATCCGTAGAAACCAGGAAAACGCGGGAGTGCCAAGGAAACAGATGGGGAATGGTCCCTTGTGAACCCCGATGTCCTGTTCAGTTTTGACTTCGATCTTCTGCTTTTTCCAAGATGCATCAGCGCATGATTGGTGACGGATGGGGATGCCTCTGGTCGTGCAGCATGGCCCTTGGATGCAATACCGGCCATCCACGTGGACTTTGACATCGTGCTAGCTGATTTGACACGACCAGCAAACGCCGACGTGTCATTACCGACCTTGAAAGCCAAAAGAGCACTACACGATTGGCTTGCAAACGGCTACGTGGCCACTGATTTTTGGTGCAGCATAGATGCATCTTCCATCCTGCCATCACCCTCCATCTCCATCTAGAATCTCAAACAAGCGTGTGTTCGTTACTTGCTTTACTAATGCTGCCATTATTGTTCTCATATTTTCCCTCTTTTTGTAGATTCTCATGGATAATAATTTAGATAGGTCAATCATGATTCTTTCATCCGAAATTGCATTTTTTTTATTTTCGAGAGGGGCTTCGGCTCTGCATATGCAGATCGAATTTGCATCAACATGAAACCATCTAGAGAGGCCGGTGGTAAGGTCGTCAGATCAGAGAAGACATGAATTTTCAAGAATACATAAGAGAGTTGCCCGCATTTTCATTAAGGAGATAGTTCAAGCTACATTACAAGCCAGAGTAGGCCGCATATATACTTTGATGAGACAAAATGCTTTTATGAAAAATTAATCAACCAAAGGAAAAAAATGCCTCACTACCCCGTATTGCTCCACTTGGACGACTCGGGCGGCGACAGACCCCAACAACAACAGTGTCTTCTTTCCCTCCTCCACGCTCCTTGTCCTCGCCTGAATGAGCCAATGGAAGTCCAGGTACTTCGAAGATGGCAGCGGTGAGGCGACCTTCGTGTGTTGCTCGCAAATTGGCAGGGCATGTGCCATACTCGTCGTTGAGGCAACGCGGAGGCTAATCCTGTCCATAGGGTGCACTGTCGCTGGTGGTATTATTTTTCCTTTTCATTAAGTTTGGATTGCTTACCACGAGTGTAGTGTGCTTCGCTGGTAGTATTCTGACTCCTTCACCATGCCAAGCGAGGCAAAAATCCTTCCAAACATGCCTTTGTTTGTCTTTTTCATGGGTGCAAGTTGTACGTATGGCACATCTGAAAATCACTCGTGTCAGCGCTAACTATACTAAGAACAACTCTAATTGATCCACTAAAATTTAGAGTAAACGACTGAGTATCCTTTAGTGGAGTATTTTTACTCCTCTAAATTTTGGCCCTTTCTAGCGGATCCTCTAAACTTGGCCGAGTAAAAAAGAATTGAGTGGCATAAACACAAATTCGGTGCACACAAACACAAATTTGATTCAAACAAGTATGTATAAAAGCTACTAAAACTAAATTCGGTGCCGATTCATATATAATATTTTACATTGACATTTAGATGAACTTAACCCAAACTTAGACTAAACTAATCGAAACTTACTAATTCATATCCATCTTTTGGGCGAGCTTCTTCCAATCGCCTCTGATCAGCCCACTCATCATCGGGTCGGGGCCTTGGCCGTTGTCGCCACCATCCTCGCCCCTATCGTTGTCGTCGCTAGACAGAATGATAATGTCCGCCCCCTAGCCGCTAACTTCTCGTAAAATCGGCGCTATGCCTTGATGGGGGCGGAGCTCCGCCATGTACGCCTCATTCGTGGCCTCCGCCACGATGCGCTTCCGAGCCTCCCGGTCCTCCCTCCTCTCCCGTGCGGAGACCACCCGCGGGTCGATGGGCTCCAGTCGTGGCATCTCTTTAAAAGGAAAGTCTCGGTGGACGTCGGTGCCGAGCAGGCGGACGAACATGATATCATTTGTCCGCGCTGCCGGCGGAATGGGAGGATCCAATCAAGATTTTCTTGTAGGTGTGTCAGTCGGTTATGTCGGCCACCCACACTCCCCAATTCCACAGCTGCACACCGATGTACTGCCTCTGTGGCGGCGACGACGGCGGCAGGAGCTTGGAGAGGCGGCGCAGGCGTCCGCGGGAAGAAGAAGCGGCGGCGCGGCCACGGCCTCAGGACCACTTGTGGTGGCGCGGATCTATGTTGTGGATGGTCGATGGGAGCGGCGGTAGTGGCATCCAACCATTATCAGTGCCGGAGTGGGTGCGGGACTCGCCGGCGTAGATTGGGCGGCTGGGATTGGGTGGAGGAGAGGTGGAGAGGCAGAGTTGAATTTTAATCCGCAGCCGTGAGGAGTAAATGTAAAAGTTCTGTGCCACTCAAGTAAAAAATTAACTCCTCTAAAATATTTCTGGGCTTCGGCTAGGTGTCGGTTAGAGGAGGGTAACGGATTTTTTTCTCTAACCGGTCGTAGGGGATCAGCTAGAGTTGCTTTAACTGACAACAGTAGGAGTAACAATAACGAATTCAGCTGGGAAGTTGGGTTTTTTTTTTTTGATAAACAGCTGGGAAGTTGATTGGTTAGTTGGGACTTGGAGGGGGGACGCGCGCCCAAGCGGAACTCAAACGCAGCGGGCTCAATTGAAGAACAAAGGATGGAGCATCGAATCAGACTAGCATAGGAGATTAATAATTATGTAAGCTAAAGGAAGCGGAAAGAAAGGAAACCAAGCTAGAGCTGGACGCGGGCGGGAGGAATGAACGACGAATGAATTATTGGCGCGTCGCGTAGGAGTGAGAAAGGAAAGATTCGACGATAGGGAGAGAAACGAACCAAAGCAATCTCTCTCTCTCGAAGTATGGAATTGGAGGAGGGGGCAGAGACAGCAATTCGGCCATATCCGAAAGGCATCCATCCCTTCCACCATCGTCGCCGACCCGGCCCGGCGGTTTCTCGGATTCCGCGAATATATCCTATCCAGCAAATCCATCCATCACCCGGCCATCCCTCGCCCATAAATTGCACGCCCCCGAGACGTTTCTTGCCACCGTGGAGTTCGCCCAGCTCTCTCTCATCTCTCATTTCCTTGGCTACGTACTTCTTCCACCTCCCCCTCTCTCCCACGCACCTCTCTCTCAGCGCTTCGGCGATCGGAGCAAGCCGCTTGTTGGGTTCTTTGCTTGGTACGTCTCAATGCTGTCGATCCTCCTAGATCGATATGATGTAGGCATGCATGTAGCTGCCAGGAAATACAATAGGAATACTTCTTTCTGCAAAATTTATCTATAGCCTTCTGCGGCTCTTTTCTTGATGATGCATGCATGGCTACATATATAGTTGTACTGATCGAGCATGCATTGCATATTTGCATATATATATATATATATATATATACTCCTACGTAAGCAGAATCAATGTGTGTATGTGTGCGTGTCGTTAACAACGACGGATGTAATCTGCAGGCATGCCTAGGTGCACCTCGTCGGTCAATTACCAAACGGAGACAGCGGCCATGTCGGAGCTCATCTGCAACGGCTGCTTCAGCCTGGTGCTCTACAACCGCGGCGCAGCCAACGTACGCTGCTCCCGATGCAACATGCTCAACTCCACAAGATCAGGTATTGCTTAATCATTTCTGCAGCTACTCACTCACACCAGTCATGTTTCCTGGGCTGCTGCTGCAACTGAGCTGCATTCATCACCTAGCTAAGCTGCTTGTTGCATTGAACTGGACTGACATTGGTATTCACATATGGTTTGGCAGCGAGCCAGTACGCCCACCTGAAGTGCGGTGGCTGCCGGACGACGCTCATGTACCCGCCGGGGGCCTCCACCGTGGGGTGCGCCACGTGCCACCACGTCAACCCCGTCAGAGCCCAGGGCTCCTCGGCTCCTCCGGTAAGCGCCCGCGCCTTCTTCGATCGCACTAGCTAAATCTTACTATGCCTCCCGTAATCAGTGGCCTGATCTTTGAAAACTAACTTCTCTTAGAGGCTATATGTCTATGCATGTCTAGAATGCCATGTGATATTTTCGAACGCGACGTTGTAGCTACTAGTCGGCACGGTTTCCCGCACAAAGAATCAGATTATAAAGATATTTGTGTGGTCCAAAGCTACATGGGGCCATGCATTGTGCGATCACCCTCTCCTGTTGCATCAAAATTTCTTGAAAAAATCACCACTATGGTAGGTTCAGGTTGCTCCATGGCTTCGTCATGGAATCAGTTCCCACAGCTCAGATAGGCAAGTACCTGAGAATAATATAGATGATTAGCTACGTACGTACCACAGACTAGCATTCAAATTCTCTGGACCATTCGTGTTATCAAATTCTCTGGACCATCCGTTTTATCAAATTGTGTGAAAATTACATACGTACCAGTGCAGTGTGGTCCATTGGAATCGATCATCGGCCAAACAATCTGAATCTTATTGTCAAAGGTTGATGGCGGCGCCAGCCGGCTTTATTCTCTAGCTAAACTTTGTCCGTGCTACTTGCAGGATGCCCATGCCCGGCCTCAGACAGTTCTCGTGGAGAATCCCAGGACAATGAACGACAAGGGCAAACTGGTAACCAGCCTCATCTCTAGCTAACACTCTACTAAAACCCTCTATTTTCATCGCTAGTTATGGCAAAGAAATTATCTATGTAATTTACTGAATTTGTCTGCGTCTGATTCAGGTCAGCAATGTGGCGGTCGGTGTCACCTCATGGAAAAGATGACCAAGAAGGAATTCTTGGTTTTATCCCCAAGGGTCTGGTTAATGATGCAAGCCCTTGGTGGATCTGTATCATCGTCGTCATCGTCGTCGTCATCAGATAAATGTTAAAATCAAGTGTGTTTTGAAGCTTGATATAAACAAGAGAAACAGTAGGAAAAGAGGCAGGAAAGAGAAGGAGAAAAAGAAAAAAAAAATGGATCTCTGAAATGTGCCATGTTTGTGCTTCTTTCTGAAAATGTAAATATGCTGGCTGTGTGCTAGCCTATGATGTGCTCTTAAGAAAAAGGAATGCAAAAAAGCATTATGTCCAGGAATTTTCTCTCTCTCTCCCCCTCTCCTTTTTGTGTTATCCTTTTCGAAAATTTCTTTTCGGCCGGCTTACTGATCGACATGCTGAGTCGACTTTGCACTTGGGGCTCTGATTCTTCAGTTGAAAAGCTGAAACTACTGTGCAGCGAAAAGATGATGACGGAATAATATGGATGCCTGCTTCTTTTTGACTGTTCACAGGAAGAAGAGCCAGATGTGTTCATCTTTCCAGCCCCGGCAGTCCAGGTTTTGAACGTTGAAGACAGCCCATGGATAACACTAGGGCTAGGCTTCTACAGTTACAGTACAAACCCTACGTTTTTTCTTTGAGGGATCAGTACAAACCCTAGTGAATCAGGCCCGCCAAAGCATAAGCATGCAGAACATGGCCCATCCAGAGCCCGGCCCAGCCCAAGGCCTAGAAAAGAAACCACGAGTAATTTATATATGCAAACAATCACATGACTAAATAGTACTCCCTCCGTCCGGAAATACTTGTTATCAAAATGAATAAAAGAAAAATGTATCTAGACGTATTTTAGTTATAGATACATTTTTTTTATCCATTTTGATAACTTCGGACGGATGGAGTACTGTACACGTATTATTTTGGGGGATGAAAAGAAATAGAATAATGTATTTCTTTTATTTGAGATTTTAAGGCTCTGGGTCAGGGTGGGCCGACTTGAAAAGAAATGGGAAATGTTACCTGGGCCCAGGAGAGTCGGGGCCACCTGAACAGAGGCTGAAACTTGCATTCTGGCAATTTCAACAGCATGGATGGAACACCACCAATTCAGCAGTACCAGTACACCAACCAGACAGAATTCCCTTCCCTAAAAAAAAACCATAAAAAAAACGAGACAGAATTCCCTTAAAAAAAATAGGATATCTTCCTCTCTTCGACGTGGAACTGAATGTTTTATGCTTCCAAGTGCATTTATATTATGGGAAAAGCTTAGGATCAACCGGTGGATTTTCTCTACCGCATCACAGGACGACGCGTGTCCCAGTGTGCCCGCGCATCGCTTCACGTACTACCTTATTATCTCGTTCGATGCGTTCGATTGCTCACAGCCACATCCACGCGTCTTATCCTTTCCTTTCTAGCACCATCTCCATCTCTCCATCTATCCTTCCTCTCATATCTCATCAATCGCCCATCACAGAGCCTCATATGCGCTGCCGGACTAGTCGCCGTTGTATGGGAGCAAGTAGGTGGCGGAGCATCCAGGTTGCAAATCTGTGCAGGGCGAGGCTCTGACGCGGAACCGCGGGCTCGCTCACCTCAACTCACTTTTCAGGCGAGGCACGACTCGTCGGCGTGCTTCTGCAGCAGCAGGAGCGGCGGCGCTGCTGCTCTGTTGCGGTCGGCGGCGACGTGCTTTGACGCATGCAACATGGTAGTTATTTCTGCAATGCAGCCGTTGTTTCAGGAATTGTTTTTGCAACCCGGCCGTTGTTTCAGGAATTGTTCCTCCAATCTCCAAATTTTTGCGACATGGTAGTTGTTTCTGCAGCAACCCAGCCGTTGTTTCAGGAATTGTTCTTGCAATCTCCAAATTTTTACAACATAGTAGTTATTTCTGCAACACAGTCATTGTTTCGGGAATTGTTTTCTGCAACGCGATCATTGTTTCAGGAATTGTTTCTGCAACACAACTGTTGTTTCTGCAACTGGTTTGTTGTTTCGGGAATTAATGTGTCGGGGAAGGCGACGCGCGTGCGCGAGGAGTTAGATCGGACGACTCGCGCACGAAGATCTGACGGCTGTCAAGGTGGTGGATGTTTACTAAACATCCACCGGCAGACGCGTAGCAGCTCCCTCAAAGAACTAGACAGAATTCCCTTAAAAAAATAGGATATCTTCCTCTCTTCGACGTGGAACTCACGTGAATGTTTTATGCTTCCAAGTGCACTTATATTATTCTACACTAGTTAACAACTTGCTCATGACCCTCGCAAAAAAAAAATTTGCTCATGAGACAAGATCATATTCAATTCAATTGTATTCAGAGGGGGGGCCTCGGGAACCTTCCTGGCAGGAGAGGTGTGCACACAGTTCTTGGTTTCTCCACTTTTTTTCTTTTGCAAGGGCTGGTTCCTTCACCTATTGCACACGTGGAACAGAAATGTTCTCGCCGGAATCACAGGGTAGACGACCGGCGGCGGACGCTGGACGACTGGGCCTCTTTGAATTACAGGGTTTACATAGCAACTTCTGTGTTTCCCCCTTTTATATTACTCCCTCTGATCATATTAATTGCCTCTGATTTAGTACAAAGTGGATCAGAGGGAGTATTATTGTTTGCTTGATTGGCAGAACTTTTTTTCAAAACCATGCTAGAGAACTGTGTGTGATTAATATAGAAGGTACTCCCTCCGTTTCAAAATAGATGACTCAATTTTGTATTAAAATTAGTACAAAGCTGGATCATCTATTTTGGAACGGAGGGAGTAAGAGATAGCAACGACCTACCAAGAAAGAAATTAATGCTTGCCTCACCAGCCTCCTTCTCTAAGAAAATACTAGGGTTCCTCAGCCTTCCGCCGGCGCCGGCGCTGGTCCACCTCGTCTCTAATGGTCTTAGAATCATGGCGGCCCGGTGGATCCCGGCCCTTGCTAGCAGAAGGGCTTTGTTTTCATATGCTTTTTTGAATTTTGTTAGGGTTTGTGTTCTACTTAGGAAGATGAGACGACAACGTTTCCCTAAAGATGAAATAAGATTCTCCCGGCTCCGCCCCCATCCCGGTGGTCTAAGCATCATCGCCGGGCGTGTGGAGATGTGTCTTCGGCGGATCTATCTTTGGTGGATTGTTCGGTTTTGATCGTACATCATCTACGTTCGTGTTTTTTCAGATTGGATCTTTTCGATCTACGCTACTCTTCATAGGCGGCGGGTGCTATTTTGCTGCGCTTGTCCTATGGGGCCTTAACACGACAACTTCCTGACTGTCTACTACACAAGTTTTGTCCGGCTCCGGCGAATGAGAGGCAATGACGGTGGCGCGCCTTCGGCTCGCTTCAGTGCTTGTAGTCGTCGCTAGATGGTCTACGGAACTGGATATACTTTTAATTATTTACAATGTTCGCTGTACCGCCATGATCAAAAATGAATAGATAGAAACTTTTCTTGAAAAAAAGTCTCGGCAAGAAAAACAAAAGGAACAAAAGAAGGCAAAAAGCTAAGACAAAAGCCACCCTAGGCGAACGACCTCGTGCGTTTAGAGCAACTCCAACGGGCCAACCCAAATGGACGTGTGTTTTGTCTGCTTTTTGTCCTTTTGGGTCGGCCAGACGGACGTGCGCGTCCGCATTTTAAAATGGGTCGGCTTGACCGTCCAACAGGGAGGCCGACCCAAATGTGCCGCCATGGAAAAAGATAACAAGTTGCATGAAATAAACATAAATAAACATAAAGCGGCCGGTCAAACGCCGGCCAAAGTCCACCTAAATCTAATAAACATTAAATAAAACATTAAAAAAAGTCTGCGCCCGCCTGTTGCCGCCCCACACGCTGCCCTAGACGTCGTCGGCTTTGCTCTTGCCCTTGCCCTCGACGCCGTCGTCGTCGGTGAGGTCGATGAAGACCGGAGCAGGGCCAGCCCACCCGAACGCCGCCTGGTACGCTGCCAGGACAGCCTCCTCCGACGTCTGCTGGGGCGGCGGCATTGCTGCAAGCCACGCGTGCTCCTCCTCCTCCTCCTCGAGCCGGAGCGCCTCCGTGTCGCGTTGGAGCATGGCCTCGTAGCGCATCTGCTCCTCGCCGTCGGCCTGCTCCTAGCGGAGCCAGTGCTCCTTCCATCACTCGAGGTGGGCCGCCTCCTCCGCCGGCGTCACGGCGAAGTGGACGGGAGGCGCGCTCACCCACTCACGGTACTGGCCCGTCCACGAGTAGGCCTCCTCCGGCTCCGGCTTGGGCTGGACGGGCGGCGACGGTGGCGGTGGCGGCACGAAGAGCGGGGTGTGGACGGAGTCCCCCGCCGCCGACAGGGCAAGGGCTTGCTCCAGCCCATCCTAGTGCGCGTCCACCTTGAGGCGGCTAGCCTCCAGCGCATGCTGCAGGGCCTCCTCAAGGGCGGCTTGGTACTCCGCCTCCGCCTCCACGTCCTCCGCCTCTACCTGCGGGGGTGGCGGTGGGAACGGCGGCGGGACGGCGTCGACATCCGAGCGTCGTTGCTCCTCGTGTTCGAGGGCGAACTACGCCTCCCAGTTGGGGGAGTCGGCGGTGTACTCTGGCAGCTGCCGCTGCTCCGGCGTGAGCTGCGCGCGGCGCCTGCGCACCTCGTCGTCGTGCACCCGCTGGGTACGCGGAATCGCCGGCACCGGGATCCGCTGCGGATCCAGATGCCAACGGTGCGGCAGCGTGATATCGGGGTACGGCAGTGGCTGCCTGTACTCCCAGTGCCACCGCGCTTGATGCACCGGGATGTGCAGGCGCCGGCGACCAGGGCGGAAATGCGTCACTGCCGGAGGAGGAGGGGGAAGGGGAGCACGGGAGGACGAGGCGCCAGGGGTGCCCTTGCCCTTGCCATTGCTGCTGCCGAAGAGGCCCATGGGCGCGCTAGGATTTGCGGTCGCCGACGAGGAAGCAAAGGGAGTGGTGGGGGCCAGATGTGGATGGAAGAAGTGGATGAGGCCGGCCCCGCCGCACGCGTGGTTAAAAAAGGACGCTTCCACTGGCTGACGCG